GTTGGGGTGGGGGTGGGGTTGGCCGCAATGAGCTCCCACCAGACTTCCTGAGCTCTGGCAGCTGCCCCACTTCAGAGTACGCTGACGCTGGCTGTGGGTAGAAGGTTGAAAGGAGAGAGGAGGCTTGAAGAGACCCTGGAAGTTCACTGGAAGAGAATGGAGATTTTACATTCAAGGGGATGACTGATTTAAGCTCAAGTCCATTTAAGCCTCTTGGGAGAAAACATCCTTCATTAGGCTGCGGTCACGCTGGCAGCTTGGCATGGTATGGTGGTGCCTCAAATTGTACCGGTTCAAAGTGTGGTGGAGCATTTCATCCAGACCGCACACCTTGTGGTGGGTTACCTGTGTGGCCATCTGGTGGGGGAGTATCCACATTAGTGTTGCGCTTCAACCATGGAATGAGCTGTAAGGGTGGGTTTTATTTAAATGCAGGCAGATGGATGCGCACATGCACTCATTCTCAAACCTTCGTTTGCCATGGGTTCTTCTTTTATTCTCTGGGGAAACTGTGCTGTTTCTGGACTGAGGGGGGAAGGGATGCTCTAGTGTGTGTGTGTATGCAGGAACCTGCTTTGGCTAGCTGCTTGGTAACTGATGAGCTGCGGTGGCTCAAGTGGTTAAGATGCTGAACTGCAGCCTGGAAGGTCGGTAGTTCAGCCGTTTGACACCTGAGTACCACATGACACAGTGAACTCCCGTCTCTGGTTCCAGCTCCTGCCAACCTAGCAGTTCGAAAGCAATACATTGCAAGTAGATAAATAGGTACCACTTCGGTGGGAAGGTTAACAGTGTTCCGTGCGCCTTGGCATTTAGTCATGCCGGCCACATGACCACGGAAACGTCTTCCGAGAGCACTGGCACTTTGGCTTGGAAACAGAGATGAGCACCACAACCCTAGAGTCAGATTCGACTGGCTTTCGAGCAAGGGAAACTTTTACCTTTACCTTTACCTTGGTAACTGATATTCTAAGTGCGTGCCTCCCAGTTGGGAAATGACCTTGAAGCTATTCTCTGGTAGGCGCCCTATCATAAATAAATAAAGGTTCACAGGTGAGGGGGAAGGGCATTTTAGCTTTAGGTGGGCTGCTTGAGTGACTGGATTGGACAGGGCACGGGTGGGGCCCCTCTTTGAATCATGTATAATATCGGACTGGCGCCAACCCCAGTCAGTTCTGACACAAGATGGTTTCGGCTCTACATGACTACATATTTTCAATAAATAAACCTTTCTCCAAAGAGTGCCATTGAGAGTGAGTTTGTGTGAGAGTCTGACACTCATGCACATATCCACATATGGGCAGCAACTAAAAAAACAACAACAGTGGAAAACGGTGGCAGAAATGGAACTGCAAGTTGTGAAAAACGGTGGCAGAAATGGAACTGCAAGTTCAGATGTCCCCTCTGGGTTCCTTTCGTGGCAGGAGAGTTCAGATGTCAGAAAACCGAGAGACGAACCGTGAGCAATCTGTTCGTAATGGACTTTCCCTGGTATCTGTTTATTCTGCTTCCAATGCAGAACAGCACGGGTTGCTGATGACTGCGCCACGGGAGGGGCAGATGTCCTCACCTGGAGGGGCCCATTTATTCTACTTGGGTAATGCCACGATAGCGCCACAAACCGTGTGTGTGACTGCAGCTTTAATGTGTTTAAAATATGTATAACCAGACCTTCCTCTCACACACCTAGGCTTAAGAGGAATTGGTAACTGGTTTTAGCTTTAAATTGCAGGCTTATGTATTGGCGGAGGAAAGGGTACGCTCGGGGCAGGATTAAGCCAGTGCAAGACAACAAAATGTTATATATTAGGGTGGCACCAAATGTTTGGCAGTTTCAAATTCCAGGCTAAAAATACAGCTTATAGGAGGGGTCAAAATAACTCCCCACCTCATTTTTCATCTCTTTTCTTTGGTCCATCCATTGCCATTGGCTTCCCCTTATCTGCTGCTATTTTCTTTCTTCCTTCTTCCTGGAGCAACTCCAGTCAGCAATCTAACCGTGAATGTGACATCACAGCTCTGTGTGGCCAGTTAGATTTGTCTATACGATGATATCATTGAGGTCAAACGAAGCCAATGAATCACGAGGGCAAAGCTTCCTGGATCAGTCCTATGCACGGTCCCGGCCAATCGAAACACTAATTGTCCTCACTCCACATGGGCGAAATATTTTCTCAGGGCAATTTTTGACTCTGCCAAAATGGCCGCTCAAAGCCTCCCCTTCACGCACATTGTTCAATCAGCGCTACAAAATTCAAGTCCCCTACATAGTTTTGATCAGTGTCATCTTTTTTTATTGTTTTGTGTTGTGGCAAGCCTGGTGGGGAAAGGGTAGGATGTCCCCCATCCCGTCCACAGGAAGCAACTTTGCACAAATCATGTGCCCCTCCTGCCATGGTTCTGTATCTGAAGTGCTACCACACTGAAATGTGAAAATATGAATTGGTCCAGAGGACAAACATTTCCAATGGAGTTTTGTTTTAACAGCAGTTAAGAGAATGGAAGCATGCACTCACTCTCACCAGCCAGTTCTTCCACCCTCACTCACACTCACCCCTGGTCCTGACAGTAACATTATCAAGCACTGATTAACCACGGTTAAGGTTAATCAGTGCTTGATAATATTCTTGTTAAGGTTAAGCATGGTTACGGTTAAGCATGTTCCTAACTTGACCAGGATTCTTGCTCACCACAATTAACAACATTGGGTTGACATTATCAATTAATGGCATTCAAAGCAGGAACAGGGAATTTGAACTAGGGTAACTACAGTTGTCAAAGAGCAGTGATGGCGAACCTTTTAGAGACCGAGTGCCCAAACTGCGACCCAAAACCCACTTATTTATCGCAAAGCGCCAACACGGCAATTTAACCTGAATACTGAGGTTTTACTTTAGAAAAAAAAACTCATACATTAACTTAAGATGATCCAAACAAAGTAAGGAAAGCAATCCCAAACGCTTTCATTGACTTAAAATTATTTGGCAGAGAATTCAACACTTTAATGATGGTCTGGGCCTGGCTGGGGCGATGGCATGCGTGCCCACAGAGAGAGCTCTGAGTGCCACCTCTGGCACCCGTGCCATAGGTTCGCCACCACTGTCATAGAGTTTCGGTCAATTCCTAGAGAGGCATGACGTCACTTCTGGGTTTTCCTGGAAGTGAAGCTACACCATTGGTCAACAGCTATTTTTTTTAAAAAAAATTCTTCCACCACCCCTGCCTAGGAGCTGGGAACCCCAGGGGGGAACCCACTCCTGATTTCTTAACCTAAAAGCTGACAGAGGTATGTGCTGCCTGTAAATGAAGAGAAAATAGGATTAGTGATTTGGCAATCCTACACATTTAATCCACGGGTCATTTCGTAGAAAAAGAGGTGCAGGAGGCTCATTAGCATAACTTATTTGCATATGCCACACACCCCGACATCACTGGAAGTGTGTCAAAAGGCAACACCCACCACTCAGGCTCCACTGGACTATTTTGGATTGCTAGCTATTGGGGGGGGAGTGCAGATCTGTCCTCACAGAGGAGGGAGAGCTTGTACCTGAATAAAACTTGGTCTTAAAGGTGATACTGGACTGTTTTGGACTGGGGGGCCAGGGGGAGTTCTGCAACTTACCTGGCTGCTTCTTGCTCTGACTGAGGGCTGCTGGGAGCAGGGGGTGGGGCTTGTTGCATGTGCCCGCCCACTGGGCTCTTTACTGCCGGAGCTCCGCTCCTGTGTGCTCCTGCAGGAAATGACCCCTGGTTTCATCTAAAAACAGCTTTTATACTCAGTAATATATTTCCCCTGCTTGGAGAACTTACTCATAACATGGGTTTTTAATGGCTTCCGGAGGGGAGATGTACATATAAGGTGGCATGGGCTTGTCCACAAAGGCTCCAAAACCAATCCTCAGGTTGCTGGTCACTTCGGCCATCTTCACCGCTAGCTTGGTACCTAAATTCTGGATGTTGCGGAGATCATCCTTCATGGAATTCGACAGGTCCATCAGGTAGTAGATGTCCACAGGGTAGTCCTCCACCTGCCGCACTTGGACTGAGAATATTTGTGAGTCATCTAAAAAATTAAAAAGTGGGGAAAGGAGTGAAGACTAAGGTTACAGAGTTTCCTCCAGAAGATTCCAACCCACCCTTTGTCTCTATCTAATTGCTTCATGAGGCACGTCACACGACTATAGACCCAGGCTGACCAGCATGTATGCTACCCTCTTTCTCATGGTGGGATCTCTAGTCATATGTAGCCAATATTCAAGATGGCGGGCCTCATGTGTCCCTCTTGAATGCACTTAGGCATGCATGGTATTATAACAGTTAAGGCTCCTCAGAAGGCAGAGAAGATGGCCAGGGAAGCATACGATGCTGCTGCCTTCACATCCGTTCTAGCCACGTGTTGTCAGCTCTGACAGCAACTCTCTCATCCTTTTAATTGGATTCTGTTAGATCGCCGCTAACAAAGATCCGGAGAGTGATTTCAGCAAAGTGATTCCGCTTTATTGAAGTAACGAACAAGCACTTAAACGCATTCATAACCAGAACAAGTTAACATTAGGAGCTAGGCTCCTTTTAAACCTTCCCGGCTAATGTAGCCACGCCTATTTACAAATATCAACCAATGCGGTTGTGTGGATAAGGACCAATGAAAGTTCTTCCCGCTCAGGGAATTAGTCCTTCTCAGATTGGTCGCTTGTTGTAGAGCGACCAATAGCGTTTCAGCGTTTAGGAGCCTTCGTCTGGCTCAACCTTAACATGGGAGGTGAATGAGGTGATTCATGTAATCGATTTCCAATACATTACAGATTCCGAGGATGAACTTTCTTCCATCTGCATGTGTTGGCTATGCTGTACAAAGAACTATACCCTACATATGGCAGTGAAACCCCACGTGAGATCACAAGTAAGATCTCATAAGTCTGTTCATGGCACAAATGGACAAAATTACAAAAAAATTGAACAATAAAGAAGATGATGTGTTCTTTGAAGAATGGAGTGACTTTAAAATTTATCTGGAAAAGAACTGGGATGTGAAACAAAACTTAATATGTTTAGATCAATATTAAGACAAATGATGTTATCTGGGGATTGTAATCGTTATGATACAAAAAATGATATAACTAAATGATGTATAAAATGGGAAGTGGGAGGAAGCATTGCGGGAAGCCACAGAAGGGAGGGGAGGAAAGGGGAAGAGGGTAAACAATGGAAAACGTGAAAACGTTTAAATGTTAAATGGTGAATTTCCTATGAAAATAAAAATTTTGTTTACCAGATCTCATAAGAGGTACGCCACTTTGAGCCCTTTGAAGGCAATACAAATCAGACTGGGAAGGGGCCATGGTAGATTGGGTTGCCACTCTTCGGGTGGCGGCTGGAGGTGTTCCAGAATCACAACGGGTCTCCAGGTTACAGAGGTCAATTCCAATGTTCCCTCTAAACTGTGGAGTCTTGTGAGCAAGAATTCTACTTAGTGAGCGACTGGCATTAAAGTTGTGAGCGAGCGATTGGGCTGCTGCATAAATTAGTTTGCTCTGGAGCCCTCCTTCCTGACCTAAAATAAAAATGTGTGAGCTGGAGGCTAAAAAACTGTGAGCTAGCTCACACTAACTCAGCTTAGAGGGAACAGTGGCTGAGACAAAAATGTGTGAGCTGGAGGCTAGAAAACTGTGAACTAGCTCACACGGACTCAGTTTAGAAGGAACACTGGATGGGACTCCGGCCAAAAGCAAGACCTCGCGATGCCAGCCGGAAGCTGAAGAACTGTGAGCTAGCTCACACTAACTCAGCTTAGAGGGAACACTGGTCAGTTCCCCTGAAGGAAATGGCTGCTTCGGGAGTTGATTTTATCACATTCTACCCTGCTGAGGTGCTCCCCCTCCTCAAAACCCACCCACCTCAGGCTCCACCACCCCCCCAAAAAAAATCTCCAGGTATTTCCCAGCTAAGAGCTGACTACTCTGAAGGATCCGTTGGGCACGCAGGAGGTCCCAGGTTCAATCCCCAGCCTCTCAAGTTAACAGAATCAGGAAAGAGGTGATGTGAAAGGCCTCCGCCTGAGACCCTGGAGAGCCACTGCCAGTCAGAGTAGACAGAGTAAGGCAGCTTCGTACATAAACGGTTAAATACGAAACCCATCTTTACCTGGTCGCAGGTGGAGCTCAATCTTCTGTGGGGACATCTGGGTGATGCTCCCGCCAGACCCTTTGCTGCTGAGGGGCCTGTCTTCCAAGATGGCGCTGGTGCTGGTGGGAAACTCCATGTCATCTGCACAGCCATTTTGAATAAGGTTGTCACTCAGGTCACAGCGAGAGTATCCTGAGGGCAGGTTCTGTTTGGAGGGGGAAAGCAGAGAGGACGTTTCGACAGATTCAGCGGCCCAGTCGCCCGTGTGCCTGTTTGCGATCACTTCTAAAGCAAGAGGAGCACTGGATCTCAAGCCTGCCTTTTAAAAAAAGCCCTTCAGCTTCTGCCCAGGAAGCCCTGCTACTAATCTCAAAATTGTGGAGGTCAGTGGCTGTGGCTACCCCAAGATAAGGGAAATTCAGCTGCGGAGCTCTTTGGGAGACCTTGGGCCAGACATTCTCTCTCAGCCTGACCTACCTTGCAGGGTTATTGTAAGGATAAAATGGAGGAGAACACCAAGATTGATCAAGCATGGTGTAATAATTACTATATTGGAGTAGGGACCAGGGAGACTTGGGTTCAAATCCCTGCCGAGCCTGACTGAATACCTCCTGATTTTATCAAGGATTTTGCCACTTGGTGGTCCCCAATTTTTGTTTCAGACCATTGATTATTCTGGACAATTTCCTGTGAGCTGGCCGGAAGCTCCTATTTATAAAAAGGGAATAAACTCGACCCGAAGAATTACAGACTTATAAGCCTGTTGTCATCTTTTGGCAAACTTTATGAAAGCTAATTACTCACTCAGTTAAAAACTTGGATGGACTTGGAACATCTGTTGGGAATAGAACAAGCTGATTCTATGATTTCAAAGGGGTATGTCAGCAACTGATCCTTGTGTGGCCCTTGAACATATGGACCAGGGAGACTTGGGTTCCTGCCGAGCCTGACCGAATACCACCTGATTTTATCAAGGATTTTGCCACTTGGTGGTCCCCAATTTTTGACATACTTGTTTCAGACCATTGATTATTCTGGACAATTTCCTGTGAGCTGGCCGGAAGCTCCTATTTATAAAAAGGGAATAAACTCGACCCGAAGAATTACAGACTTATAAGCCTGTTGTCATCTTTTGGCAAACTTTATGAAAGCTAATTACTCACTCAGTTAAAAACTTGGATGGACTTGGAACATCTGGAACGAGCTGATTCTATGATTTCAAAGGGGTATGTCAGCAAACTGATCCTTGTGTGGCCCTTGAACATATGGCTGAGAACAGGGTCGATTACATGTTGCTTTCTTTGATCTAAAATCTGCATTCAATACGGTCCTTCGAGACAGACTCTGGGACAAACTATGCAGAACAAATATACCACTTAGGTTACTTTTTTATTATTAGTCTTCTTTAATACTCAGATTAGATTCTGTTATGGTGTAAATGGCTGTTTATCTGCTCCCATAGAGGTCAGGAGGGGCATAAGACAACATTGTGTCCTTGTTCCAACATTGTTTAATTTTTACATTAACAATGTAGTCCCTAGACCAGGGGTGTCAAACATGTGGCCCGGGGGGCGGATCAGGCCCCCGGAGGGCTTCTATCAGGCCCGCAGTGGAACTGGCTGTCTTCTGCTTCTTCTTCCAGTTCTGCTGCTGCTGCATCATTGTAGGTCTGCAGCTTACAGATACATACCTGAACAGCACACTCAAAATTGCAACAGCATAGACATTTTGATGCAATAATTCAGAGCAAGAGGTGTCAGTTATCAGGCACTGTTAAGTGAACAAAATATTGCAAGAGTGCTAATGTTTTAAGCATGTTTTTAAGTAAAAAAAACCCCCACCCTTTGTTTTTGTGTCTTTTATAAAGTTTATATCTCCGCTACCTGGCATTACATGTTATGACACACATGGCCCGGCCCAACAAGGTCTCATTTATGTCAGATTCGGCCCTCATAACAAATGAGTTCGACACCCCTGCCCTAGACTGAATATCCTGTCTTTGCACCACCACCCCCACCCCCATGGCTAGGGACTCATCTGATTCCAGTCATGCTATATGCAGACGACACAGCTCTGGTATCAGTAACCACAGTGGAACTGGACCGATCAATTAAGATCTTCATTCAATATTGTGCTGATGAACAACCTGGTAATTAATTGCAAACAATCCAAGGTTTTAGCTTTTGCTAGATCTTGTAGGCCAAAATTATTACGCTGGAATAGGTCACATGATGGAAGAAGTCCAATTTTATAAATACCTGGGAATTACATTCCAATGTCCACTCTCTTGGGCTTTGCACGCTAAAAAGAAATCTATGAAAGCCAAGAGTACTGCTGCAACTTTGAGGAATTTTTTTTTTCCACCACAGGTGCTGCTTAATTTGTCCCTGCAGCTTTGGAAACATTTCAGGCAGAAATCACCTCACTGTTTTTGTATGCAATTCCAGTATGGATTGGTAGCCTGAGTATGTGCCCAGATGTAATCCAGACAAATTTCATTTTATTGATTTTAGCATCCTTCCTGTT